CATTTGCTTTGCCGTGGCACATTTATCTCTCTTGTGTACACCAAGAGATCTTCGCCACCTCTGACATTAGAAGCAAATCAACCATGCTTCTCCTCCCGAACTGAACCTGACAGTAGCATTCCCCCACGTGATGTCCTTGTACTCCACCCGCATCGCTCATTTCAAACTATATCGGTGCATCTCTCCTACTCCACACTACAAGCCGGATTCCTCCATCTCCTGCATCACTTGACTTAGACTAAATATGAGTGCTCGTCGTCTTCAAGTCTAATACCACCATCTCCATCAACATGTGTGTCACTCAGTCGTGCGTGCTTGCAACTTTACAGCTAGAATACTTCTCCCGATGACTACACACCAACCAAATACTTCTCCCGATGACTCTGAATAATTATATGCTGACAACTTTACAGCTAGAATCACATCTGATTCTCTACGTCAGTCTCATCTGTCGCATACTCGTTTTTTCTATCTGCCATCAGATCTGTCTTATCGTCACCATCAGAACTTTTCAACACTTTCTGACCAATCTGAACAAAATCTAAAAAATTAAACCCTCTCATCGCGTTCAGAGCAACCTAAAACTTACGAATTAACTCCTGGATCACTGAAATCAACCTCTGATTCACCAATCTATCGACAAAACTATCTGGACAATCCGATGTGCATCCACAGCACCAAACACCAAATAAAACTCCACATCAGATCAACAGGTCGCAATTAGACAATCAGATCACGTGAACTGCTTCTCATAATTCTTTCATGTGGACCCCACTGTCTAAATTTCCTTTTTTTTCCACACTTGTGAATCTCCTCACGTGCTGCTACTTTTTTTGACTCTTGCACGCGAACGAATAAACCAAAAACGACCTATGTTACCGCTCTTGTCGTCGCCCGCTCTTGCCGCCACTCGACCTTCCTTTTTTTCTTTTTCTTCATTTTAATTCTTGTAACACCACCCTACGTACTATGATCTCCGCAACTCGGAATCCAACCCATAATCAACAAGATATAAAATAATCAAAATCAAGAAGAAAGAACATTGATATTTACGTGATTCAGTTGACCAACTTTGACCTACATCCACGGGGCAACAATACAAAAAAATCCACTATGTGTCAGGGAGAACTACAAGATGAACCACTTAACTCTCGTCTCTCAATCTTTCAACATCATATACATAATCAACTCTCATATTCTCTCCAAAACCCACTCCTTACAATCTTTTGAACGGATAAAGTCTGTGAAACATTCTCCCAATGATGTAATCTTTTGCATGGACAAAGACTACGAAACTCTCGCATCTCGCACAATATTCTTGAATCAGGCTACGCCCTCTGCTTATCCTAGATTACAAGAATATTAGTTCTTTCTCTTCTTCTTGGTTTTTCCTCCAATAATAGAAGAATATATATAGGGAAACCAAAACTTTATCTCTAACCTAACTTCCTAATTAGAATATGATTCAAACTCTTAGTCATGATAAGACACAATCTCCTAATTATGATAGATATCTAACCCTATCTAATTCTCATAAAGATATAAAAAATCAAAGACACAATCCCAATACCATGCTCACTCCAAGGATAATTAAGCTTAGAAGCTACCACACTTGGTTATGAGAGGATGGTGAAATAAATATTAGTTAGAGTTGATGCATTAATGTCTAGAATGTTATTAGCTTGTTTAGAACGGGCTAGCATTAATATCACTTTGAGCATACATATCATGTAACGAGGAGTGCATGAATCTCAAGGTATATGATAATCAAGTTTTTTTTTTCTTCTTCTTCTTTGTCTGACTTCTTATCTTTCTTTTGTCGTTTACCTGATTTATTTTATGAGAGTAAATCCCATGATACCTGCGCGAACGCAAATTCAAGTCTCTGCACCTGAAAAAATATTTTCGGTGGGATATTTTGATGGGTAATATGAATTCTACTGTTGGGAAGAATAAGGATTACATGGGTTAGGGTTGGGGTCCTTAGCAGGTATAAGTAGTTGTGGGTTTGGGTTTTGTTAGGCGAGTGGCATAATTGTCAATTAATGTTAATAGTTAAAGAGAATAGAATACTCCCATGCAATTCCTAACCCAAACTAATCACAGGGACTAATATCATAATAATGCAATTTGAGGGAATAATATCGAAATATGAAGATTTAAGGGTCTAATGTTAAAATGCGTATGATTTAAGGGACTAATATCTAAAAAACCCTTTAAAAAGTAGGTAAATTTTACAAAACTATCATAAACTAATAGAGATTTTGCAAAAACATATTACAAATGGATTTTTATTAAAAATTCCACAAACTTTTAAACAGAAGACAAAAAAAAAAACTACTCATAAACTATGTATCATGAAATTTTATTTATGTTATGGTAGAATTATAATCGCTAAACTACCTTCAACTTTATTTTTATGTTAAATAACTATCACCACTTTCTGATTATAAGTGTTTATTTTGTGTTAATTTAAAAGTTTACGGTGTTTCCTCTAATAAAATATGTTTATGATAGTTTTGTGTGAAACTTGTAGATTTATCATTTGTTATAAAATATAATTTCTTGGAGCAACTATGTTTACAGAGTTTTAGATTCTCTCTAGAAATGTAGTGAAGATACAACTATTCTATCATAATTTTTTATTATCTAGTGGATGGTGATGATTTGTCTCTGAATATAAATTTAGGAACGAATATAATTCATACATGTATGGTGAATAGTGAAGTATTTAAAATAAAATGTAATCATCTACTAAATAAATCAATTGTTGTGCTTGTGGTAAAAAGTAGTGTCTCTCTACTGCTTGAAAAGAATACAAATTTATAACTACTACAAAACAATACAATAACTAAGCGATTATTAAATAACTAATAGAACTTGACGCTACTTGACGAAGAAACAAATCTATATATAAGAAAACCACGATACTATAGATAGGTATTCACAACGGTCCCACTACTCATGACTGTATTACTTAATAGCTATCACATATTGTTGAACAAATTCCAAATTATTAATAACAATAAAAATTTCAGCCTTCCAAAAACAATAAAAAATTGCCAACATTATCCAAACCTGCAGCTAGAACATACGGAACATATTCTAATTTGTTCAAACATTCAGCTGGGACTGGTGGGGTGGGGCCGTGGGGGTGGGGGAGTGTAGAAGTAATCTATGATTTGTTTGGAAGATCCCCAGGGAAGTAAGGTTAAATTTTTTCTTCCCTTTCTTTCTTCTCATTTACCCCCTAATTTAGAGGGTAGTATTTTAGTGTAAAATTTTCTTTACTTCCCATCCTCTATCTTTTTAATAGAACCCCCAAACAATGTTAAATCCAAAATTTCTTTCCCCTTCTCTTCTCTACGCTCCATCCAAACACATCATAAGCACTTAGATTGGAATTATTCACAAATTTTGTGTCCAAGTGAATTTACCCACTGTTTGGCTAATTTCGGGATATCAAGCGTCAAGTTAATCCCAAGCTCATATATAGAAGTTTCAATGATTTGAGGGACAACATCAAAATACGAAAGATGTGATGAGCCAATATAAAAAATTAGGGGAAAAAATAAACCCAGTTGGCTGATTATCATGTAAATACACGGTTCTTCCTTCTTTGTATTTATATAAAGACTCTTGTTTTCGGTGGTAGTTATTGTTATAGCCTTTCAAGATATGGAAAATAATTTCTAATCAATTTCTAATTATTGACAGAGTGTCTCATATTATGCATAATCAAGTCAACATATTAAGACAATCAGAGGCCTAAATCGGTCGACTCAACATGCCGACATTTTGTGAGGACGGCTTGAAAGGCATCACATGTCGACGATCCGAGAGGTGTTACACATCAACCCCTAGCTAAGCCGATTGCCTAATCACTTCATTCGGCTGACACCTTACGAGGACGACTCAAAAGACGGTACTTCTCGACCATCCGACGAGTAGAAAGGCGATGAAACGCCTTGAGCCTCGAGCCCCTCCTGTGCACTGGTGACCAATCACCTCGCAATAAATTTTATTAAATGCATATTGATGACATCATTCCTCTGCCCCCAATAGTCTTTATGACACATCGGACCACGTCAACACCGCACACCCCCGGTTACTTCGCATTAAATATCAAAGCGACCTCTCCTCTACTCGTCGGCCGACACCTGTAAAGCTGAAGCTGACTTGGCCGTCAGACCATGTTCGATTGACGTTACCATCCTACCCCTCCTACCACTACTATAAAAAGAGATATTGTTATTAATTATAAGGTAAGCTTTTTACTACTACTCTCTGAGCTTAAGAACTACTGCAGTTCCTTTTACTTCTCCACTTAAGCATTTCACTGACTTGATCGTCGGAGGAACAACTGGAGAACCAAACCCCACCCTCTTACGATTTGTTACTTGTGTGAGGATTAGAGGACCTCCGTCAACTCAATCACTCCCTTTATTTGACTGTGTGATTTCAAACATCAACAATTATATATCCTAAATTTTAAAAAATTTACACTTTATTTATATAACGACTCTTGTTTTCCACGGTAGTCATAAATCCTAAATTTTTAAAACTTCACACTTTAATGTTTTTTGTGATGCAAAAGTAAGAATATTTCTCCGAATAGCTCCATGTGACACTCACATACTAGTTTTAGAATATCTCTTTCAAATTTAAAGTTTGTTGAATTTAGAACACGCGAGATTCACATGAAAATATTAAGGGGAATATTCTTTCATTTACATAATAGAAGATAAGAACTTCAAAACTTCATGAGTTATAGATAAAACCAAGTGAGAATATACGGGTGCAAAGTAAGGAAACTATAGGGTACTTAAGTGCTAAGTGGCCAAAAATGTTCCCTTTTAATATAACGCGGCAGGAGCCACGCGCGCTCACACAAAATTACCTATCCATTAACGGGTTATCGGGCTATCGGGCGGCATTTGCGGCTAAAGAACACGCGACTCTCACGCACCCCCTGACGTTAAATCGCTTCACAAGGGCGAGTCACAACTCCCAACTGAACGAGAGAGATAAAAATGACGAGCTCGAGCTCTCTCTTTCTCCTCTTTCTCTCTCTCTCGTCAATTTCTCTGTCACTTTCTTCTAGAATTTATCCATTGATCGAAGAACCCATCAAGCCCGTCTCTAGAATTAGCCCATTTGATACTTCTAATTATGGGAAATTGCAGCTCAACAATGGATTGGCTCGCACTCCTCAAATGGGGTCACTACTATTTTTATCTCTCTTCCCTTTACTTTCTCTTATTGTTTGAGATTTTACTTCTATTTTTAGTTTGTGTACATGGGTTTGTTGTAAATTTAGTATCTTGGATTGTGTTGATTAGTTCCTGAGTTTATTTTTATGGGTTTCTCTGTAGAGTGGATTATACAGAATGCCAATATTCTTTTCTTTTTTAATAATTTGAACCTCATGAGTTTAAGGTTTTAAAAGAATCTATCTTTGTTGTAATCATTATCATATTCCCTTTTTTCTCTATGTTTTTTTATTATTGTTTCTGCACAGGATCAAACTGATATCTAAAGAACACACAGCAGATAAACCTTCTCTTACCCAAGATCAACCAACAGAAGAAGAACAAACCAGAAACCACTCTTATGAAGGCTAAAAATGGAGTCTTTACAAAAAAATGAGCACGGAGACTACAACTTGGGGCTATTCATTTTCTAACAGACTAAAACACTTGAGATAAGGACCAAAGAAAATTCTAGACACACAAGGATTCTAGAGACCTCTAGCTGCTGTTACATAGAGACCAGAAACTATTAAATGCATGTCTACAACAAAAAGCACAAAAGAACTTTTTGCATATTCCAAAAAGAACTTTAAACTCAACACTCCCCCTTAAAGTTATTTTTGGAAATCAGTCCCAGCTTTGCACGAAGAAACTCAAATGGTCCTTTAGAGAGAGTCTTTGTGAAGATGTCTGCAATATTGAGCTCACTTCTTACTTCCCTGTTGTTAATTGTTCCATCAAGAACCTTCTCTCTGATAAAATGATGCTCAATCTCAATATGTTTAGTTCTAGCATGACACACTGGATTATAGGCAAGCTTGATTGCACTTTGATTATCACCAAACAAATCTGTGGCCTTGATAATTGGATGATAAACATCCTTGATGAGTCTTCGAAGCCAAACACACTCCTGTGCAGCAAGTGTGGCAGCCTTATACTCTGCTTCAGTTTTGGATAAAGCCACTGCATCTTGTTTCTTGCTACACCAATAAACACTTGTACTGTTGCACATAAACACATAACCAGATGTAGACCTTCTATTGTCTAAATCTCCAGCAAAGTCAGCATCTGTATAACCATTTAGCTCAAAACCACCACCTCTTTTGTAAAACAGACTAAGATCAATGGTAGAGTTAACATACTTGAGAATCTTCTTTGCTGCTTCAAGATGTGACTTCCGAGGCTCTTGCAAATAGCGGCTTATGAGTCCAACTGAGAAAGCAATGTCTGGCCTAGTAATTGTCAAATACAGAAGACCACCAACAAGAGAACGATAAGACTTGAAATTTGGCAAGAGTGACCCTTCATCCTTCCTTAATTTCTCATTTGTATCAAGAGGAGTAGATCGTTTCTTGCTAAGTTTCAGCCCATATTTTTCAATCAACTTCTTAGCATATCCTTCTTGTGATAGCAGAACACCCTCCTTAACATTTTTCACTTCCAAACCAAGAAAATGGCTCAGTTCACCCAAGTTCTTCATATCAAACCGAGTAGATAGTTCAGCCCTTAGCTTTGCAATCTCATCTTCATTGCTTCCAGTCACTATCATATCATCCACATACAAAAGAACCACCATATGCAAGTCTCCATCCTTTTTAACAAAAAGACTTGGATCTGCATCAGACGAATGATAGCCACAAAATTGCAAAAACTCTGCAATCTTCCCATACCATGCTCGATGAGCTTGTTTTAGCCCATATAAGGCTTTCTTGAGTTTACACACATACCCTGGATGAGAATCTGATAAGTACCCCAATGGTTGTTCCATGTAGATATCCTTGTCAAGGTATCCATATAGAAATGCGTTTTTAACATCGAGCTGCCACAACTTCCAATTTTGAGAGGCTGCCAAAGAAACCATATAAGGCTTTCTTGAGTTTACACACATACCCTGGATGAGCATCTGATAAGTACCCCAATGGTTGTTCCATGTAGATATCCTTGTCAAGGTCTCCATATAGAAATGCATTTTTAACATCGAGCTGCCACAACTTCCAATTTTGAGAGGCTGCCAAAGAAACCACAACACGAACAGATGTCATCTTCGCCACGGGACTGAAAGTTTCTTCATAATCTTCTCCGTAGCTTTGAGAGAAACCACGAGCCACCAATCTCGCTTTAAATCTGTCCACACTTCCATCAGCCTTTCTTTTCAACTTGTAAACCCATTTACATGTAATTGGAGTCACATGATCAGGTTTTGGGACAAGATCCCATGTCTCATTTTTAACGAGAGCCTTCATTTCCTCCTCCATAGCAAGCCTCCACTCTTCAACACCAGCAGCATCTTCAAAACAAGATGGTTCTTGATCATCAACTGGGCCTGTAAAGAAACAAGAATAAGTGCTTGTGAAATTTTCATCTCGGTACCGTGCTGGCTTGGTGATATTTCTTCTTGGCCTTTGATTTGCTTCATCATCAACATTACCATCTTCTGGAACAATACAATCTTCAACTTCATTTTCAGAATTAATGCTCCCCCTTTCACCTTGCTGCAAATTATCAAATGAAGGCAAACTAGAACCATTTGAGGAAGTTGGCAGCACGACAATTTCAGATTTTTGCAGACCTGACTCTTCACTGTTAGCAACACCATAGTATGATGAAACTTCATCAAATACAACATCTCTTGAGACAACAAAGTTGTGAGTTTCTGGATCCATGCATTTCCATCCCTTTTTTCTTTCATCATAGCCAATAAAAATGCATTTTTTCGCCTTTGCATCAAACTTCCCTCTTCTGGAGTCCGGCACATGAACATAGCATATTGAGCCAAACACTTTGAAGTGCTTTACACTAGGCTTCTCTCCGAACATCAGCTCATAAGGTGTCTTCATATTGTTTGGACTCAAAGGCAACCGGTTAATCACATAGGCTGCACACATCATACCCTCTGCCCAAAAACCTTTAGGCAAGTTTTTAGCATGTAACCAGCTTCTACATGTCTCTGTGAGATGCCGGATCTTCCTTTCAGCGATGCCATTTTGTTGTGGAGTCTCTGCACATGACAATTCTCTTCTTATCCCAAACCGTCGACAAAAGTGCAAGAACTCATTAGAAATAAATTCTCCACCATTGTCGGTTCGCAACCGCTTAATTTTTAAGCCAAGAACTCCTTCAACATTCTCTTTGAACTCTTGAAACTTGAAGAAGGCATCTGACTTGTGTTTAATACAATAGACCCATGTGAACCTTGAATAGTCATCAACAAGAATCATCAAATAACGGAAACCAGAGAAAGAGGGAGTTCTAGTGGGACCAAACAGATCACCATGAATACATTCCAAAGGAGCCTTGGTTCTAGATTGAGAGATTCCAAATGGAAGGCGATGAGACTTTCCGAATTGGCACCCTTCACATGCTTCTTTGCTGGGAAAAGATGTCAAACTTGGCAGGCCATTCACCAAATTCTTTCGAACCATAGCTTTCAACTTATCAAAGTTCACATGCCCCAATCTAGCATGCCACAATGATGCATTCTCATTGCAACTTACTTTATCAATATAAGATGAAGAGGCAGACAACACAAAAGTATCCTTCACCCTTCTACCAGTATGCATGACATCTGCCTTTATATACTTAACATTTTTAAGAAATTTAACATCATGTGGCCCAAACAAGACATTATAACCAGCATCCACAGCATTTGGAACTGAAAATAAATTTTTCTTCATTCCAAGAACGTGGAAAACATTATTTAAGGTGATAGAGTCGTTACCTCCATCATTGATGACCACCGTGCCTTCATTCTCAACCTTGTGAACTGTATTGTCTGCTGTCACCATAGCTTCATTGCCAGTATGTGGCTGTAATATGGAGAACTTTGATTCATCACCTGTCAAATGATGGCCACAACCGGAATCCACAATCCAATCATTCTGAAAATTAATGGAAGCCATGGCATTGTGAGTTGCCGATTCCACCAGAAAACACTTTCCCCAGCTGTCTTCATTGTCACCACAACTTGAGTCACGAGAGCCACCATTCTTCCTGGCGTAGTTTCCAGAATTAAGCTTCACGGTGCAGAACCTTTTGATGTGACCAGGTTTACCACATCGATGACACTTGAACTTCTTCTTATAATACGAGAAAGATTCACCTGGTCCATCATTGTCATGCTTCTTAACCTCCTTCTTCTCAAATCTGAAATTCCTTTTTTTATGAGCAGAGAGTGCTTCTGTGTTGTTGGGGTTGTCTGATATTGACATCCCAGCCATCTGTCGTGCTAAAGACTCTTGAGAAGACAAAAGGTTCTCGATCTCTTCCAGAGAGGGCTGCCGATCCCATCCTTGAATCGAGGTAACAAAAGGAGTGTACTCTTTCCTCAGCCCACGAATAATATGCCTTCTCACACGAGCTTCAGAAATAGGTTCATCTGGATCCAAGATTGAAATCTCCGAACACAAGTTTTTAATCTTTAAAAAGAATTGGGAGATTGAAAGATCACCTTGGCTTGAATTTGCTAGCTCATTCTCCAACATTTGCAGACGACCAATATCTTTCTTGTTGAATAGCCTGTTGAGAGTCTCCCAAATATCTTTTGCTGAGGTACACCTCATAATATGATCGAACAAAGCAGGAGATATAGACTTCTTTAGCACAAACTCTGCCTTTGCATTCACTGTCGTCCACTTCTTCAATGCTTCAGCATTTTCTGCATTCTCCTCTGGCCTGACTGCATTCGCTCCACCAACAACAGCCCACAACTCTTCACCAACCAAATAAGACTCCATACAAGATTTCCACATCTTGTAATTTGATTGGTTGAGCAGCTCTATGCCAAGACCGACGCTCCGACTCGACGACTCCATCTCTTCAGCAACACTGGTTGATCTTCTTCACCAAGCAATTAACACTGCACCTGCTCACCCTGGGGCCTTGGGGCTCTGATACCATAAAGAACACACACAGCAGATAAACCTTCTCTTACCCAAGATCAACCAACAGAAGAAGAACAAACCAGAAACCACTCTTATGAAGGCTAAAAATGGAGTCTTTACAAAAAAATGAGCACGGAGGCTACAACTTGGGGCTATTCATTTTCTAACAGACTAAAACACTTGAGATAAGGACCAAAGAAAATTCTAGACACACAAGGATTCTAGAGACCTCTAGCTGCTGTTACATAGAGACCAGAAACTATTAAATGCATGTCTACAACAAAAAGCACAAAAGAACTTTTTGCATATTCCAAAAAGAACTTTAAACTCAACAATATCTATGTTTTGTTTTCCTTCTTTCCATATATAATGTTTGGTTTAATGTACTTTGATGTCTGAGCTGTTGTAATTTGATTGCAGTATAGGATTGTTGAAAGTTTGTAGAATTATGATATTTAACTTCAGAACTCTTCAGTGAGACCGGCTTCATTATGAATTTTTGAGATATATTGGTTGTGGATTTCATGTATTTGTATTAAAGTTTTATTTGAGATTTGTCTTTTGGGTTGTTGTTCGCTTATGATGTTTTCTTCTGACATTTTATTATTAATTTTCTCTGGTGGTTTGATATTGAAATATTATGTGTAATCAATTTAGTGGATAATTTATGGATGCAGATGGAATAGCTGGAACTTCTTTGCCTGTAATATCAATGAAAAAGTAATTAAGGAAACAGGTATGTTCTGATTTCATGTTTTGAGTTAGTTCAATGGACGTAAATTCTCTACGAGAACTGAAAAGTTATCGCAATGGTACTGTTTGTATTAACAAAGCAATCAAATAGTTCACTGCATGTTTAAATTTTTTTATGTATTTTAGACACCAAAAGAGAAGTACAATTCAAACATAGTTTGAGGGATAATTCGTGCTTGAGATTTCTGTACTTTCCCTTAGATTTTAACTTTTGCTTTTGTGATGGCAGCTGATGCCCTCATCTCAACTGGGTTGGCTGATTTAGGTTACATCTATGTTAATATAGGTAATGACTTCAGTTGCCATTTGATTAAATAGCCATGCATTTTTCTTATTAGAATTGTCTTTGGTGGCAGATGATTGTTGGCATTCTCTCTTGCGTAATTTGAAGGTATGTTGGAAGTCAGTTTTGTTGATTATCATGGCTATACTCTTTTGCGACCATAAGTGACAAGTTTTAGTGGTTCACCTTAATTATAGCTGTCTAGTTATTGCAGGGTGAATTGAAACCAGATCCAAAGACATTTCCTTCAGGCATTAAAGCGGTTGCTGACTACATCCATAGCAAGGGCCTCAAGCTTGGTATTTACTCTGATGCTGGGTAGGGATTTTATTTACAATGTTATGTAACTTACACAATCAAACAAGTCATTATCTTGTGAGTTTAGTCAATTGATAGAAGTGAAACTGTAAGTATCATGCACTGAAGCGACAGTTTCATTTAAATTTAACCAACATCTGATGTATTCATTTAAATTTAACCAACATCTGATGTATAACAGCTCTGCATTAACTTTAACTATGAAAACTTTCAGGATATTCACATGCCAAGTTCGACCAGGATCCCTCTACCATGAAAATGATGATGCAGAGCTTTTTGCATCTTGGGTAACTAAAGCTACATTATCCCCAGGAATTCTAACCTTTTTCTTTTATTTTGCTGGTTAGAGTAAGAATGTGAAGTGCGTAAGAGCATTAGACTGCACTTGACTGTTTAAGTGCTTAAATATATTCTAGCTGCGCTTTTCAATTTGCATCTTTTGAAGTTTTCAGGGTGTTGACTACTTAAAGTATGACAACTGTTTTAATTTGGGTATCAAACCAGAGGAACGGTAATCATCTTCTTTAACTGCTATCCTTGATCAATATTACATATTTGAATCATTGGAGCAATTTACTTACTTTGTAAACCTTCAAATTCACAGTTATCCTCCAATGAGGGATGCATTAAATTCGACTGGACATAGCATTTTTTACTCAATTTGTGAGTGGTAAGTTTTAATTCTTGATATATTTAATTACATACCTTATTGGATAGTTCAGTCTTAATTCTCTTTCCATCTTATAGGGGTGTAGATGATCCTGCCTTATGGGCTGGTAGTGTTGGTAATAGTTGGCGGACAACAGATGATATAAGCGATACATGGGTTAGGTTAGAAATTTCTATTTCATGTATACCTTCTGTGTACATCATATCATATTACCATATCAAATGTGTTGATCAACTTCCCAATTCTTTTAGCATGACGACAATTGCGGACCTCAATGACAAGTGGGCATCATATGCAGGACCGGGTGGATGGAATGGTAGTCTAGCCTTCACCCTTCTTGTGGATTTTTTGCTTCCTTCACCCTTCTTGTGGATTTTTTGCTTAGTCATGCAGATGCCTAGTCGAAATATCTGTCTAATTTTATATGGTTAAGTATTTTAGTGGATATTGGCTTGCCAGTGTATATTGATTGCTTTTGTAGACCCTGATATGTTAGAGGTTGGCAACGGTGGTATGACTTACCAAGAATATCGTGCACATTTCAGTATCTGGGCTTTGATGAAGGTGTGTCCTTTATTTCGACACGAGGTTCTGTCTGTATACAATTGGTATCACTGTGATTTGCATATTTTTAACTAATATTTTTGTTGTAGTAAAATCATGTTTTGCTTCAATTAAAACTGTCTTCATTAGCATCATCAATGATAATGAAAGGAATGAGTCAATATTTGATAACCATGGAGTTCAGAAGAGCATATGCAACCATAAAAGTAATATACCAAAACTAGCAAATACAGTGTCGAAGTTCAATGCCTCATTGCCTAATATTCCCAATTTCTTACCAACAATTAGATCGTTTCAGTATACTTGGTTAATTTGTTGAAATAAGTGGAGGATCTCCACATAGACTTAGCTGAAATTTTGAATTTTATGAAGTTAAAAAAATACAAGCTTACGTCCTTCGTTCTACTTCACACGTGTTTCAGATGTGGTTATGACTTCAACTTTTTCAGGCCCCTCTCTTGATTGGCTGTGACGTACGTAACATGACTGCTGAAACATTCGAGATTTTGAGCAATGAGGAAGTGATTGCAGTTAATCAAGGTAAAATCTTTTATCCCTCTGTGTTATAACTTATATGCAAAATACTAATTCAAAATTTTAAATCTCTGAAAGTTGATTAACCGGATCTCTGGAGTTAGATTGTTATTTATGGATATGGAGTGAAAATGATAGTAAATGTTTTAGCAATTATTGCTGAAAATGGTACTAAATGTTTTAGGAATTATTGGTCCCTGAGCCGAAAGTAGATCAGTTACGAATTGTGCCTGTCAGTAGGAAGATGGCAATTGAATATTTGACACTACATTGAAGATGTTAATGCAAGCAGAGGAAGATCACTGTTTTTAGGTTCATAGGTTGTTAAGAGTTAAGGCACTGTACATTACAGATGCCAATAAGTGCTTATTTTCATGCAAAATACCACACGGTTTTGCACTATGCACATCAGTTTCAGATGTCTTCATATTATATATGAACCTACTCTTTACCTAAAATTGCCTTTTTGCTAATTATGGGTACGAGCCCTAATAGGTATTGATGATCTGTGCAGATCCTCTTGGTGTTCAAGGAAGAAAGGTTTCAGTTGCAGAAAATGAGGGTTGCAGCCAGGTTCTAAAATTAATTGGATTCATTTACTCACTCCATATCTGAATCTCTTAGCATTGATTTATATGCTAATATGACGGAGTCCCATTTTAATTTTCCGGATGCTACAAATTATTTTGCTCATCAACTAGGACATGTCCATATGTAGGCTTACGGAGAAACAAAACTAGTGGACTTCACATCCGTTACCTAATCAAATGATGTCCACATAGGAGGATATAAGAAGAATCCAACAATATAATGTACGCTAGGAACAATAGGTATTCTAAAGAAAAAAAGAACTAGGGAGGAGGCTAATGATTCTTGAAAGAGATTAAAAAATTAAAAATCATTGGACCCGACAATATTCTTAATGAAGTTTGGAAATGCCTCGGTACAGGGTTAGGATTATTGACTAAGCTATTCAACAAGATTATTAATTGTTATTAATAACAAAACGTTTGCTGAGTTTGGTATCCATTAGAAGAATAAAGGAGACATGCAAAAAATTTCAAACTATCTTGGCATGAAACTTATGAACCACTACCAAACTTATGAATATGGATGGCAATTTACCATTGATGTTGTTCCGTGGTAACTTTGAACTGATTAAACTTATAGCATTACGTCTGGTAAAATATAGTGGCCTACATAACTACTACTTATAACTGCTTATTGAATCTGTGAATTTCAGGTATGGGCGGGTCCTCTATCTGGAAACCAGTTAGTAGTTGCCTTATGGAATCGCTGCTCCCAATCTGTAACAGTTACAGCAAAATGGGGGGTTCTCGGCCTTGACGAATCCACCAGTGTTTCTGTAAGAGATCTCTGGAAGGTGAGTTGGTAATTTCTTATACATGCATTATTAGTATTGAGATCTATAAAACTTTTGTCTATTCTTTTATAGAAGATATACTAGTCTTTCATCATTATTCCAAAAGTTTTGTAACTTGCATTATATTTTGAGGTAACGAGTCACATGTTTATAGATCCTACTCAAAACCCCATGTCTACCTAGAATCAGACACTGCCTTTGCATGTGCGGGGTAATAGATTTGAACTCAGTCAATATAATCTTGATCTGTTCACCGATCACAATAAAGTTCATGTTTTTAACTTTTCCAATTGCCAATTCACCCAAGCAACAAATATGTATCTTGAGGATCTAAGTTGGGCAACTATGTTAACTGCGACTAACATATTGAAGTGTACCTTTGAGGTCTCCAACAAGACTATGTATGCATCTAAAAGGTGCAACTATTGTGCTTCTTGTTAGTTATGGTGACTTGATTAATCAAATTGCCGGTTTAGGGCTTTATAGGCATCATCAATTCCTCGCCAAATAAAGAAATTCCCAAAGCTAAAATTCTTTTTATTCTGTCGTGAATTAATTCTCTTATCTGCTACGTACCAACGCGTATCTTTTCTCTTACCACATTCTTTCTCTCTTTTCTGTATGCACTGCTTTGACATGATCACCACAATGACATATCAAATTTCTTTGTTTTTCCAGCATGAAAACCTAGCAGAGAACGTAGCGGGATCCTTTGGAGCTCGACTTGATTCTCATGACTGCAAGATGTACATCTTCACTCCAGCAACCTATTCTAGTGTAATGTGAATTAATTCAATGTGCATCTATCATCTGTAATGTCTTTCATATGTCCTTGGTGCCTTTGCCCTTTGTATCATGTACTAAGAACCTGACAGGCTACGGTCTACTCTCGAGGGGAAAATGTGGAAGAAGGAAAAGCTCAGATGTATTAATTTTGATGCTTGCTTGCTTAATATTGCGAGACAATGGTTATTTATTAGGATGAAATGGGCACTGTAGTCTAACTGCGAGAAAATGCTGAATTGACTGCTATCTTTTTAAATACAACTAATTTCAAAAGAATAAAAGAGCTTTTTCTGATTTTGATTTTTCAAATCTAATGTATTTGAAAATAGGTCTTTAAAAACACATTTTTTTTCTAAATAAGTTGCCCGCATCACTTAATTTGTTCCAAATCATTCCCTTTGGTTATAATTTGTTAACTTGATCCTGTAATATAACTAAGCAGTATATTATTTTGCTTGTTTTACCGTCATCTCTATTGGCTATTTATCTATCCCTTATCTGCAATCAAATTGTGTAGGTCCAATGTTTATTTTGTTTATTGCATATAAATCCCTAAGAAATATTTGAATTTCAAGTATCACATCTATAGATTTCTGGTCAGATATTACTTATCAAAAGATAATACAACATAGATCTTACTAAAATCAAACCAGGAAAGAATAGGGGAAAGTAGATATACTACACTCGAAATTATATAGCTCATGAATGATGCATCTATCAGCACTTATTATTAGGATCTAAATGTGTCGCTAACGCAAAATGTAGTCTGAACACAAAATGTATTCTGAGCACCATCATAGGGAATTACTTGCAAAACACGAAAATTTAATAAGAGTTTTCTACAATTCCAAAAGTTGTTTGGAGTTTAATGCAATTTTATATGGGGTGTTACTACACCGTGGGTGCGATGTGGACCACACAAAGGGGGTGTAATTACAGAAATACGCCTATACATTCTAAGGAAATGCTCAGAAATTCATAATGCCCTGCGGCTGCACCTAAAGGTGCTAAACCGTATCCGTATCCAAGGAAATATCCAAAACCATATCTGTTAGGATACGGTTCCTTAAATCTATAACTAATACGATATGGTTACGAATATGGTTTTGTAGTGAACTATCTGGATCTGTATCCAAAATATCCGAATGCATATTAATCATACTTTTACGATAGTTTTAATTCTTAAATTATGGATTTGTGATTAATTTTGATTATCAAGATGTCTAATCTTAGCTTTTCACTTATAATGAATATATTAATGAACTCTTTTGTATCACATGAACTTTGTTTTTCTCAATACTATCTAGTTTTCTCATATCCATTTTGTATTTGCATGCGTATTCGCTTATATATCCGTAACTATATCCAATTTTAGTGAATATGGATATGAATTTTTCTTCCCAATGTACATTCGTATCCGTATTCGTATCCGAGATGGGTAAGCGGATATAGATATGATAAACATCATATCCGCACTGAATGCACCCCTACCTGCACCTTATCGTGCAGGGCGTCTGAATAGGATGTGTACCCCTCTAGTGAATCCTCAACTGTGAATTATCAACCTCATAGAACGAGAACCAAAATAAGATGAGTGATGCTCCGAGCTACA